GAGTTTTCAAAAATCTCCACTTTGCCCGGAGTTTTTTGTATATATTCGTTTAGAATATGTAATTTTTTATTTATTTAATGCGATCTACCAATACTACCTTTGCGATCGACTGGTAGATCGCGATCGACGTATTGAGCACCCCTGTGTTAGCGTAACGAGATGTCCTGCATCTCAGAGAGCGATATCTTCTGCCAGAGGGAAGAAGCTGGAACATGGCTTTCCCAGGGTGGCCAGAAGAGTCATTAACAATCCTAAGAGCTTTGTTTAAAAGTCTGGATTTATAAAGAACCTCCAGAACAGGAAGCTCACAGCCCACGGTCCTCTTTGCAGAGCGGAGCACCTTGTTTAAAGCTCTCTTTTCTTTATCTGTGATGTTTCCAAACCACACAGACACAGAACCAACAAGTAAACTCTCACCTGAGAGTACCTAAGAGTACCTAAGAGTACCTGAGAGTCCCTGAGAGTACCTGAGAGTACCTGAGAGTACCTGAGAGTACCTGAGAGTACCTGAGAGTACCTGAGAGTCCCTGAGAGTCCCTTAGAGTACCTGAGAGTCCCTGGGAGTTTTCAAGCCAGAGGGACAGTTAATTTGCTCAGCTCATAGGGACGGTCTCGCTCTGGTCTCTCTCTGGTCTCTTTCTCTGGTCTCTCTCTGGTCTCTCTCTGGTCTCTCTCTGGTCTCTCTCTGGGCTCTCTCTGGGCTCTCTCTGGGCTCTCTCTGGGCTCTCTCTGGGCTCTCTTTGGGCTCTCTCTGGTCTCTCTCTGCCCTCTCTCTGGTCTCTCTCTGGTCTCTCTCTGGTCTCTCTCTGGTCTCTCTCTGGTCTCTTTCTGGTCTCTCTCTGGTCTCTCTCTGGTCTCTCTTTGGGCTCTCTCTGGCCTCTCTCCGGTCTCTTTCCGGTCTCTCTCTCTCTGGTCTCTCTCTTTGGTCTCTCTCTGGTCGCTCAGGAGGGTCCTGGACAAACTAACATCTATGCTGGACCATGACTGTCACCCCCTGCAGGACACTCTCTCTGCTCTGGAGAGTAGCTTCAGTGACAGACTAATTCACCCTTGCTGTGTGAAGGAGAGGTTTCGCAGGTCTTTCCTTCCTGCTGCTGTCAGACTGTACAACGAGAATGTGTAACAGGAACTGCTGAGTCTGCACAAGTGTTTCTGATAATTCACCAGTAACTTTGTCACTAGTCACTTTACCTGTTATCAGTACTACTACAGTATTATTTCATATCTGATAATTCTGCCTTTCACCGTCACTTTACCTGTTGATATCTTACTGTATTATTACATATCCATCTGATAATTCTCCCACTCAAGTCACTTTACCTGTTGATATTATTTCTGCTGTTTATTCTGCTCATATTCATATTCTCATATTCTCCGCTGCTAATGTATAATATAGACATCTGTAAATACTCCGAACCAAGTGCAATCATAGCCCAGAGTTTCTTATTTTATTTTATTCTATTTTATCTTAAATTTATTGTCTATTATCTTAAATAATAGACTGATGTGTGGTCTCTCTCTGCTCTCTCTCTCTGGTCTCTCTCTCTGGTCTCTCTCTCTCTGGTCTCTCTCTCTCTGGTAACTCTCTCTCTGGTAACTCTTTGCCTTGCTTCTCCTTGAGCAGAGAGTTCATTGAAAGTGACAAAAACATTGATTAACTCCAATGCAATTAATGTGGAAGGTTGTTCCGGAAGAACCCAATGACACCGGACTAACGAGGCGCCGCCGCTGCAGCCGCATCAAACGAACTGAAGACCGAGATATAGAACTTTTTCATCTCTCAAATTACCATGTGCTGCAGCTCAGAGCGGATCTGGCTTTGTTCTATCACTGTTTCAGATACACATCGAGACGCCTCGATGGTTTTCTGTCTTTTTATTATGTCTCTCTCTGGTCTCTCTATGGTCTCTCTTTGGTCTCTCTTTGGTCTCTCTTTGGTCTCTCTTTGGTCTCTCTCTGGTCTCTCTCTGGTCTCTCTCTGGTCTCTCTCTGGTCTCTCTTTGGTCTCTCTTTGGTCTCTCTTTGGTCTCTCTTTGGTCTCTCTCTGGTCACTCTCTGGTCTCTCTCTGGTCTCTCTCTGGTCTCTCTGGTCTCTCTCTGGTCTCTCTCTCTGGTCCCTCTATGGTCTCTCCTTGGTCACTCTATGGTCTCACTCTGATCTCGGTCTCTCTCACTCTGGTCACTCTTCGGTCTCTCTCCGGTCTCTTTCTGCTCTCTCTCTGGTCTCTCTCTGGTGTCTCTCTGGTCGCTTTCTGGTCTCTCTCTGGTCACTCTCTGGTCACTCTTCGGTCTCTCTCCGGTCTCTCTCTGGTCTCTCTCTGGTCGCTTTCTGGACTCTCTCTGGTCTATCTTTGGTCTCTCTCTGGTCGCTTTCTGGTCTCTCTCTGGTCTCCTTCTGGTCTCTCTCTGGTCTCTCTCTGGTCTCTCTCTGGTCTCTCTCTGGTCTCTCTCTGGTCTCTCTCTGGTCTCCCTCTGGTCTCCCTCTGGTCTCTCTCTGGTCTCTCTCTGGTCTCTCTCTGGTCTCTCTCTGGTCTCTCTCTGGTCTCTCTCTGGTCTCTCTCTGGTCTCTCTCTGGTCTCCCTCTGGTCTCTCTCTGGTCTCTCTCTGGTCTCTCTCTGGTCTCTCTCTGGTCTCTCTCTGGTCTCTCTCTGGTCTCTCTCTGGTCTCTCTCTCTCCAGGCTGAGTTGGTTCTAAAGTGTTCTAACTGACAGTAATTAGCCAGTGCTGTTGGAAGCGATGGTGTCTCCTCTCTCCTCCTCCTCCCCCACTCCTCCTGCTTACCCCTACTTTCCCTCCTCCTCCTTCCAACTCCTCCTCCCCCCTCCTCCTCCTTCCTCCTCCTCTCCCTCCTCCCCCCTCCTCCTCCTTCCTCCTCCTCTCCCTCCTCCCCCCTCCTCCTCCTCCTCTTTATATCCAGTTCCAGCTGGAGACACCATGTGATGAGAGGGTCTGGCGAGGACCATGCGCACCATTACATGATGGTTAGAACTCTGCGTGTTGTAGAGGAACGTCCTTCACTGTCGCCGCCACGCTGACGACCGACGGACGCCACGCTGACGACCGACGGACGCCACGCTGACGACCGACGGACGCCACGCTGACGACCGACGGACGCCACGCTGACGGCCAACGGACGCCACGGCAACGAGGAGAAAGGACACGGTTGCAGAAACACATAAAGTTGGAGTTTGGTTTAAAAAAAATGAGATTTCAAACCATAAAAACATTGACTTTATATGAATGGTTCACTGTATCTTTCTGGTCTCTCTCTGTCTGGTCTGTCTGGTCTCTCTGGTCTCTCTCTGGTCTCTTTCTGGTCTTTCTCTGTCTCTCTCTCTGGTCTGTCTCTCTCTCTGGTCTGTCTCTGTCTGGTCTGTCTCTGGTCTGTCTCTCTCTGGTCTGTCTGTCTCTGGTCTCTCTCTGGTCTCTCTCTGGTCTCTCTCTGGTCTGTCTCTCTCTCTGGTCTGTCTCTCTCTGGTCTCTCTCTGGTCTGTCTCTCTCTCTGGTCTGTCTCTCTCTGGTCTGTCTCTGGTCTGTCTCTCTCTGGTCTGTCTCTCTCTGGTCTGTCTCTCTCTGGTCTGTCTCTCTCTGGTCTGTCTCTCTCTGGTCTGTCTCTCTCTCTGGTCTGTCTCTCTCTGGTCTGTCTCTGGTCTGTCTCTCTCTGGTCTGTCTCTGGTCTCTCTCTCTCTGGTTTCTCTTGACAGTTTTACAGTCTGACAATATATGTAAAAAACATGTAAATTCTAACCTACGACACAACAACAACTGTAGTAAATGTGTGCCCTTGTGCTAAACACACACACACTAACACACACACACAGACGCACACACACACACACACACACACACACACACACACACAGAAAGACACACACACAAACACACACACACAGACGCACACAGACGCACACACAGACACACACACACAGACAGACACACACACACACAAACACACACACACAGACGCACACACACAGACACACACACACAGACACACACACACAGACACACACACACACACACACACAGACACACGCACACACACACACACAGACACACACACACACACATACACAAACACACAGACACACACACTTCCCCGCGGTCACACAGCTCTTGTGGTTTGATGATAAAGACGTGACCTGCTAAAGTGTGGCATTAACACCACTTAGATTAAAACATGTCTCTGAACCTCAGCCTTTGTCACAGGAACAGAACAAGAGATTAAGGAAGAGAGAGAGAGACCAGAGAGAGAGAGGGGGAGAAGGAGGGAGAGAGAGATAGAGAGAGGGGGAGAGAGAGAGAGAGAGAGAGATTGAGAGAGACCAGAGAGAAACCAGAGAGAGGCCAGAGAGAGACCAGAGAGAGAGACCGGAAAGAGAGCAGAGTGAGACCAGAGAGAGAGACCAGAGAGAGACCAGAGATCAGAGAGAGAGACCAGAGACCAGAGAGAGACCAGAGAGAGACCAGAGAGAGACCATGAGAGAGACCAGAGAGAGACCAGAGAGAGACCAGAGAGAGAGCAGAGAGAGAGCAGAGACCAAAGAGAGACCAGAGAGAGACCATGAGAGAGACCAGAGAGAGACCAGAGAGAGACCAGAGAGAGAGCAGAGAGAGAGCAGAGAGAGACCAGAGAGAGAGACCAGAGAGAGAGACCAGAGAGAGACCAGAGATCAGAGAGAGAGAGACCAGAGAGAGACCAGAGAGAGACCAGAGAGAGACCAGAGAGAGACCAGAGAGAACAGTAATCTCCATCAGTGTTTTGTTCTGATCTTGGAGTTTATTTCATGATATAGTTTTTGTAAATCCAGTTATGAGCCTTTTAAGAACTGACCAATCAGATCAGGAGAGGGGAGGAGTCAGACAAATGCATACATAAAGATGGAAGTATGAAGGGAAAACACGACTCCAGGTCTCTGTGAGGTTCTCCAACAAAAGATTCACAGAAAGAAAATAAATAAATGATGAAATAATAAGAAATGATAATAAAAAGAACTCACATGGAGATCCCAACTGACCCGTGTCTTTTGGCTCTGAGGACTTCTGAAATGAGGAACCTTGAGGAGAGAGAGGGATGGAGAGAGAGAGAGAGAGAGAGAGAGAGAGAGACAGAGACAGAGACAGAGAGAGACAGAGAGAGAGAGAGATGATCAAAAACAAACGTAAGGCAACAGAAAAACAAACTGAACAAATGAGGCGGTGTCAGAGTCATGAGGAGAGAGACCAGAGAGAGACCAGAGAGAGACCAGAGAGAGACCAGAGAGAGACCAGAGAGAGACCAGAGAGAGACCAGAGAGAGAGGGTAGAGAGACACCAGAAAGGAGAGAGACCAGAGAGAGACCAGAGAGAGAGCAGAGAGAGACCAGAAAGGAGAGAGACCAGAGAGAGACCAGAGAGAGAGAGCACAGAGAGGAGAGAGACCAGAGAGAGACCAGAGAGAGAGGGTAGAGAGAGACCAGAGAGAGACCAGAGAGAGAGACCAGAGAGAGACTAGAGAGAGAGACCAGAGAGAGAGACCAGAGAGAGACTAGAGAGAGAGACCAGAGAGAGAAAGAGAGAGACTAGAGAGAGAGACCAGAGAGAGAGACCAGAGAGAGACTAGAGAGAGACTAGAGAGAGAGACCAGAGAGAGAGAGAGAGACTAGAGAGAGAGACCAGAGAGAGAGAGAGAGAGAGACTAGAGAGAGAGACCAGAGAGAGAGACCAGAGAGAGACTAGAGAGAGACTAGAGAGAGAGACCAGAGAGAGAGAGAGAGACTAGAGAGAGAGACCAGAGAGAGAGAGACCAGAGAGAGAGAGACCAGAGAGACACAGATTGAGACAAATTTTAAGGCAACATAAAAACCAACTGAACAAATGAAGCAGTGTCAGAGTCAGAGAAGAGCGATGAGTGTCGAGCTGGAGACGGATGAGAGAGGGGGCAAGAGGGTGAGAGGGGGGAGAGAGGAGGAGAGAGGGGGAGAGAGGAGGAGAGAGGAGGAGAGGAGGGGCAGAGCAAACCCCGTGATCCAAGATGGCGCCCTTTTCAAATCAGTGGGATGTGCTCAGTGGCTCATGGGACCTAAACGGGGACCGACATATCACAGGAACTCGCCCATATTTGGGCATTGTCTGGTCCTCCCGGTTCTGCGCAGTGGACGAGCTCCCATGATGCTTTGGGCATGGTTTCTTTCTGGTCTCCCTTATCTCTCTCTCTCTGGTCACTCAATCTTGTCTCTCTCTTTCTGGTCTCTCTCTCTCTGGTATCCCTCTATCTAGTCCGTCTCTCCATAGTCTCTCTCTCTCTGGTCTCCCTCAATCTCGCCTCTCTCTCTCTGGTCTCTTTCTCTCTCTGGTTTCCCTCTATCTTGTCTCTCTCTCTCTCTGGTCACTCTCTTTGGTCTCTCTCTCTTTCTGGTGTCTCTCTCTCTGTTGGAAAATTGTGTCCAACTTAACCTGAAATCAGCCTCTTCTGCATCAAGATAACACTGAGGTGATGTCACACGTTGTCAGTCGTCAGTCCTCACACACACACAGTCTATGACACAGGTACACACAGGTACACACAGTCTTTGACACAGGTACAAATGCCCTGTGTCCCTGTGATCCCCAGAGCCACTGTGATCCCTGTGATCCCCAGAGCCACATCCATAAACAACAGAAACAATGGCGTCGTCATCGCTGCAGACTCTGAGGGAGACGAGCCTCGGACAGGAAGTCAATGAGCTGGATGGAGCCGCCTGCATGGAAGCATCCAGGGGGGAGAGGGGGAGGGAGCGGGGGAGGGAGGAGAGAGGAGGGCAAGGGGAAGACTGTAGGAGACTGAGGGAGAGGGAGAGATGAGGGAGAGAGGGGGAGATGAGAGAGGAAGAGGGGGAGACTGTAGGAGACTGAGGGAGAGGGGGGAAGGAGAGAGGAAGAGGGGGAGAGGAAAGCAAGAGGAAGACTAAAGGAGACTGAGGGAGAGGGAGACAGAGGGAGACAGAGGGAAAGGGTGAGTGGAGGGAGAGAGGGGGAGGAAAGAGAGGAAGAGGGGGAGAGAGGAGAGATAAAGAGGGGGAGAGAGGAGGGCAAGGGGAAGATTGTATAGGAGACATAGGGAGAGAGGGAGAAAGGGGGACAGGGAGAGAGGAAGAGGGAGAGAGGAGAAAGGAGGGCGAGGGGGAGACTAGACAGAGGAAGAGGGAGAGGGGGAGGGGGAGAGAGTGGGAGAGAGGAAGAGAGGGAGTTGACCCCGGACAGATCCAGTGAATCCTCAAAACAAAGCTAGTGATTTGTGTCTGAATTTTTTTTTTTCTAAATTCAATGTCATTCTTTCTTTCATTCTTTCTACTGTTTCTGTTAAAAATCTCCAGTTTCTCCCACCATGAAAGCCTTTGCCCTGGTGTGACCATCGGAGCGGATCCCACCTGGTCCTCAGATCGATGAGTCAAAGGGTCAGGTCAGAACAACACAGAGAAAAACAAACCCACAGAGTCTGATCAAAACAACTGCAGTCAGAGAAGAAAGAGAGACCAGAGAGAGAGACCAGAGAGAGACCAGAGAGAGAGACCAGAGAGAGAGACCAGAGAGAGAGACCAGAGAGTGACCAGAGAGAGAGACCAGAGGGAGAGACCAGAGAGAGAAACCAGAGAGAGAGACCAGAGAGAGACCAGAGAGAGAGACCAGAGAGAGAGACCAGAGAGAGAGACCAGAGAGAGACCAGAGAGAGAGACCAGAGAGAGAGACCAGAGAGAGAAACCAGAGAGAGAGACCAGAGAGAGACCAGAGAGAGAGACCAGAGAAAGACCAGTGAGAGACCAGAGAGAGACCAGAGAGAGAGACCAGAGGGAGAGACCAGAGAGAGAGACCAGAGAGAGAGACCAGAGAGAGAGACCAGAAAGAGAGACCAGAGAGAGAGACCAGAGAGAGACCAGAGAGAGAGACCAGAGAGAGACCAGAGAGAGACCAGAGAGAGAGACCAGAGAGAGAGACCAGAGAGTGACCAGAGAGAGAGACCAGAGGGAGAGACCAGAGAGAGAGACCAGAGAGAGAAACCAGAGAGAGAGACCAGAGAGAGACCAGAGAGAGAGACCAGAGAGAGAGACCAGAGAGTGACCAGAGAGAGAGACCAGAGGGAGAGACCAGAGAGAGAGACCAGAGAGAGAAACCAGAAAGAGAGACCAGAGAGAGACCAGAGAGAGAGACCAGAGAAAGACCAGTGAGAGACCAGAGAAAGACCAGAGAGAGAGACCAGAGGGAGAGACCAGAGAGAGAGACCAGAAAAAGACCAGAGAGACTAGAGAGAGAGACCAGAGAGAGAGACCAGAAAGAGAGACCAGAGAGAGAGACCAGAGAGAGAGACCAGAGAGAGAGACCAGAAAGAGAGACCAGAAAGAGAGACCAGAGAGAGAGACCAAGAAAAGACCAGAGAGAGACCAGAGAGAGAGACCAGAGAGAGACCAGAGAGAGGGCAATGAGAGAGACCAGACAGAGAGACCAGAGAGAGACCAGAGAGAGACCAGAGATCAGAGAGTGAGACCAGAGAGAGAGACCAGAGAGAGAGACTAGAGAGAGATCAGAGAGAGAGACCAGAGAGAGAGACCAGAGAGAGACCAAAGAGAGAGACCAGAGAGAGAGACCAGATGGAGAGACCAGAGATCAGAGAGTGAGACCAGAGAAAGCACAGAGAGAGACCAGAAAGAGAGACCACAGAGAGAGAGACCAGTGAGAGAGAGATCAGAGAGAGAGACCAGAGAGAGGGACCAGAGAGAGACCAGAGAGAGAGACCAGAGACCAGAGAGAAAGACCAGAGAGTGAGACCAGAGAGTGAGACCAGAGAGAGAGACCAGAGAGAGAGAGACCAGAGAAAAGACCAGTGAGAGACCAGAGAGAGAGACCAGAGAGAGAGACCAGAGGGAGAGACCAGAGAGAGAGACCAGAAAAAGACCAGAGAGACCAGAGAGAGAGACCAGAGAGAGACCAGAGAGAGAGACCAGAGAGAAAGACCAGAGAGTGAGACCAGAGAGTGAGACCAGAGAGAGAGACCAGAGAGAGAGAGACCAAAGAAAGACCAGTGAGAGACCAGAGAGAGAGACCAGAGAGAGAGACCAGAGGGAGAGACCAGAGAGAGAGACCAGAAAAAGACCAGAGAGACCAGAGAGAGAGACCAGAGAGAGAGACCAGAAAGAGAGACCAGAGAGAGAGACCAGAGAGAGACCAGAGAGAGAGACCAGAGAGAGAGACCAGAAAGAGAGACCAGAGAGAGAGACCAAGAAAAGACCAGAGAGAGACCAGAGAGAGAGACCAGAGAGAGGGCAATGAGAGAGACCAGACAGAGACCAGAGATCAGAGAGTGAGACCAGAGAGAGAGACCAGAGAGAGACCAGAGAGAGAGACCAGTGAGAGAGAGATCAGAGAGAGAGACCAGAGAGAAGGCAATGAGAGAGACCAGAGAGAGAGAGACCAGAGAAAGACCAGAGAGAGACAAGAGAGAGACCAGAGAGAGAGACCAGAGAGAGACCAGAGATCAGCGAGTGAGACCAGAGAGAGAGACCACAGATAGAGAGACCAGTGAGAGAGAGATCAGAGACCAGAGACCAGAGAGAGACCAGAGAGAGACCAGAGAGAGAGAGACCAGAGAGAGAGACCAGAGAGAGAAAGACCAGAGAGTGAGACCAGAGAGAGAGACCAGAGAGAGAAACCAGAGAGAGAGACCAGAGAGAGAGAACAGAGAGAGACCAGAGATAAGAGAGTGAGACCAGAGAGAGAGACCAGAGAGAGGGACCAGAGGGAGAGAACAGAAATCAGAGAGTGAGACCAGAGAGAGAGACCAGAGAGAGAGACTAGAGGGAGAGACCAGAGATCAGAGAGTGAGACCAGAGAGAGAGACCAGAGAGAAACCAGAGAGAGAGACCACAGAGAGAGAGACCAGAGAGAGAGGGATCAGAGAGAGAGACCAGAGAGAGACCAGAGATAGATCAGAGAGAGAGAGATCAGAGAGAGAAAGACCAGAGAGAGAGACCAGAGAGAGGGCAATGAGAGAGACCAGACAGAGAGACCAGAGAAAGACCAGAGAGAGACCAGAGAGAGACCAGAG